CCATCTCAAAAGGTTTAAAAAGGCAACAGGAGATTAAAAGTTCTAGAGGGAGGATGCAAGGGCTTGGGAAGGAGAAGCATCTTACAGAGATCAACATAGGCACCAAGAGGCCAGAGGTTACTACTGCTATGAACCAGAACCTTGGATAAGAAGAGCCTTCCCCTGGAGACGACAAAGGCACCAGGAACCTAGGTCTTTCAACTGTGGTAAAATGGACATACTAAGAGAAATTGTAGACAAATGAATTCTAACAATGCCTCATATGGAAGGCCACTGCCTTCTGGATTGTGTAGAAGATGTGTTAAGGGCAGACACTGGACCAATGAATGTAGATCGACCAGGGACATGCAAGGAAACCTGTTAAGGCCGGGAAACTCCGAGGGGGTCTCAAGAAGTCCCCACATCGAGAAAGGTCAGGTCATTCCCAGTAGCAGTGGGAGACAATCTCTCACAGGACGAATAGATCGTTCTTTGCCTATTGTGAAAATTGATACTGATCTAGAAGGTAGTTTGAATAGTGATGAAGAATCAAGTGTGAATGGACAAAATGAGAAATGCATATTTTGGCAAGCTTCTATTAATGATAAAAGGCCTCAGCTGAAACTGAAAATTAATAATAAAGTTATTACTGGCTTAGTGGACACTGGGGCGGATGTGACTATTATTACCCAAAAGTCTTGTCCGCAGGAATGGCCTCTTAGAGAGGCAAATGTACAATTTTTAGGAATTGGAACTCTATCTACAGTTCGACAGAGTGTTAACTCAGTGGTCTGCATTGGAACAGAAGGACAGAAAGGGATACTGAAACCATACGTGGCAGATATAGCTATAAATCTCTGGGGTCGTGATCTCTTACAGCAATGGAATACTCAGATTAATATTCCTCCAATGTCAGATACAAATATAAGAAACTAGGTACAAATGATGGACCTTCAGAGGAGCCAAAGGCCCAGCCACTGAAGTGGCTTGCAGATGAGCCTATTTGGGTAAGACAATGGCCTATGACCTCTGAGAAGCTAGAGGCTTTAGAAAAGTTAGTACAGGAACAGCTAGAGGCTGGACATATAGAGGAATCTACCAGCCCTTGGAATTCACCTGTATTTGTTATCAAAAAGAAGTCAGGTAAGTGAAGAATGCTGACAGACCTGAGAACCATAAATAAGGTAATTCAACCAATGGGCTCTCTGCAACCTGGAATGCCATTACCTTCCTTAATACCTAAAGGATGGCCTATCATAGTCATTGATCTAAAAGACTGTTTTTTCACAATACCGTTACAGGAAAATGATAGAGAAAAATTTGCATTTACTGTACCAACTCTGAATAATTCACAGCCAGTTAGGAGATATCAGTGGAGGGTTTTGCCACAAGGAATGCTTAATAGTCCTACTTTGTTTCAAGACTTTGTACAGCAACCTTTGGAAATAATTCGTAAGAAATTTTCACAGTCTCTTATTTATCATTACATGGATGATATTCTTTTATCAGATTCTAATAAGGAAACTTTGGAATTATGTTTGAAATGGTGAGGGAAGTTCTGATTACAGGTATTCTACTAAGTTACAGTTATTCTACTAAGGTATATCTCATAAACTAAATAAAAACCTCACAAAGGAAAGGGAAGCGTTTTGCTTTTATCTTCACAGGAAAACTCATCTCCAGAAGGTAAAGGACACTGCATGGGTAGATACTTAAGAAGAGAAGGTAGCCATAACCATCAAACAAAAGGAACATGCCATACAGTATGCTTTACAGCTGTCTCTCAGGGAACTCTATTTCTCTTTATTTTTCTAGTCCCTATTCAAGTAAATCAATGCTGGATTTAGAGGTGGATTTGGCTTTCCTCCTCTAAAATCCAAGCACGTTGTTTAGCTAAACTTTAGAGTTTCTGCATTGTATCAAGAAGCAAATTGATGTAATACAGAATAAGAAAAGATTCTGGGGATTGTCTTTGTCTTTTCTTTGGCTCTTTCTTTCAAGGTGTACACCCTCCCGTAATTGTTAGTCTCCAATGGTTGCCTTTCCCAATAAGTGTACATACACAAGCAAACATTTCTCTGCTAACTGTTTATGTTTGAGTCCCACACAGCCAATGAAGACCTGCCTGACAGCAATCCCTGGACACCCCGGAAAGAAAGTGGGCCACACCTCCTCGACTGCACTGGATCCAACTTGCCTCATTTCAACTGACACTCCAGCCAGAGGTTCTTTTTGCCATTTCTCTTATTTTTTGGAAGTCGCTTGCTGGCACCTCCTGCTTACTGAGTTAATATTAATTTCTTCTCAGGTCTCTGATGGAGTTGAAGACTAGAATGCTACAGTTACAGTTTTCCTTGTTTACCAGGCTCAGAAAAGACACTCACTAAAGAGGTGTAAAGTGCAAAAGTTTGAGACATTAAAAGATAATTTGATAATGCAAATTAGAATGGAAAGTGAATTAGGTATAAGACTTTGGACTCACCAAGATAGGATGAATATGGAGTATTTTCTCTGACTTTGTCAAATCCAAATGGATTAGATATTGATGTACTTACTGCTTGTATATATTGTATATAGTTATTATTGTACTTTGTTTTTCTTCTATTAGTTATAGCCTTCTCTTTTGTATTAGACAATAAGGGGGAACTGTAGTGATACATTGTTTATGATTTAATAAAGCTTGCCTGGGGATCAAAATGCAAAGCTAGCAGAGCCATGGAGACTGGACAGTGGTGGCCACACCTTTAATCGCAGGACTCAGGAGACAGAGGCAGATGGATCTCTATGAGTTCTAGGCCACCCAGGGCTACATGAGATTGAATCAGTCTAAAAGAGAAATAGAGCTCACGCCTTTAATCCCAGCACTAGAGAGAATCCAAAGAGCTCAGTGCCGTCTATGGATGCAGTCTGAGGGTGGGTGGATCACCCCTTTGGTCTGAGCATTGGTAGAGATGACAACTCTCTGGTGACTGGCTGCTTTACTTCTCTGATCTTCAGCTTGAACCCCAAAATCCGTCTCTGAGTCTATATTATTCGTGCTACACCTCTCATTTGTAATGTTACTAGATTCAGATAGGGACTGACTTTGGCAAATTATTCACAAAATGTCTATCATGCACTCAAAACAGGTTGAAAGAGACAAGGCATGACATGCACAAACTAAAGTCAACATCCTCAATGCATTTCAAGAAATAAGCATTTCTGGGAGCTTTATAAACAGCTGTTAGCTAACCACATTTGGTATTTCTGTCATGAATACAAAAACCTTAAAGCCTTACGAGTACCTAGCTGTAAGGGGCAGCAAACATTTTCTATAAAGGGAAGGACATTACATATTTTAGCCTTTAAAAGTCACAAGATTTCTGTCAAAATCAATTCTGTCACTGGAGGGGGAAGTTGTCAAGTGAAGTGTTAAGTGGCACTAGATGCTACAGGTAAAATGCACAGCTGTGGCTTACAGACGCCTGTTCTCTAGGGTGCTCAGAGGCAAACAGCAAGGCCTCCTTTTCAGTATACTTTCAGTATACTATGCTTGTAAAAACAGTGTATCAAAAACTGATGAGGCATCATTTTTTAAAAGTCACCAAAACCAGTTCAGACACACAGAACAGATTTATGAAGGTTTTTTACGTGTTGAGTTTTACACACCTAGTATGCACTGGCTGGTGCTACAACAATTTCTACATTTATTTTATGGTACATGAAATATCACTTCACTTGGTGGTTTCACAAATAACAAATTCTCACCCTTTATATCTAACAAAATTTTCAAACAAAATAATGCATTCTTATTGCTTAATTTATAACCTATTTTAAAATAATGTCTAAACCAAGTATGAATAAAAGATTACTACTGATAAGACAGTACTTACTCAAACATCATTAGATAATGCTTCATATTATTAGGTGCAACCTAAACCAAGTTTCTACATTGGATCAGGTTCATATTATTCTCTCATTTAAATAATATGCTTACAAAACAAAGTAAGCCTATATAATTACATTAGTAAATTATCATATACTCTTTGCACTTGTTGAGAACTGACAGAGGAAGAAGGTAAGTAGCCTCCTTGTCTCAGACTCAAGCATGGTTATCTCAAGTGTCCTCAGAAATCCCCTGTCCTGGAGCAGACTGATACATTGGCCCTGATCAAGATGAAAGGAGACTAGCAACTAGCTCAAGGGTAGTAAAACCTGCACCCTTGAGAACAGCTATAGGGAAAATACTTCCAACGGGTCACTACTGTTTACCCCAGATTCTAAAATACCTGAGTTCACCAGAAGTAGGACACTCCCTGGGTCTCTAAAGTGGCCCTGCAGTTCACTGTTTTAGCAGGGCTTCTCTGGCCATTTCTGCTGGATATTCTAAGTGCCTGATTTGATGCTGTTATTTCTGTGTTCCTTTTCTTGCTATACGTAATGAACTTACTCAAAACCTAAAGTGTAGCAAGCATAGGTCATTCTCCAGACACAACTATCAATAGGGGCAATTTCAAAGGAAAACAAAGCATACTAATCAGTGTGCCTTTAATTCAAAGTAATCTTTCCTAGTGCCCCCAAATAAAATCTGTAAGTATGCCTCCCATTTTGACAACGGTCTTACTCATGAGGACGAGGAAATCTGCCACTTACCTTTGCACACCATAAGGCCTTTCTAGAATGGGCTCTTTGAATGGAGGTGGAACGTGACCAAAATAATCAGGATAAGCCACCTCCGAGTACTCTGGGACAGACTTTGTGGTTTTCACAATCTCAATGTAGAGATCAGGGTCGTGGAGTGTTGGTCCATCGGGGGCTTCCACAGAGGAGGCCTGCTCTACGGAGGAGTTGGACTCACTATCGTCATCGTCTTCGGTTTCCGCTCCAGTACAACACAGCTTCCCAAGCTGTACTGTCCGCCCTTCAAAAAGAGTACTTCCACACGTAGCCACATGTGGGCATGCTTTCGTGCATGAGACGACAGTGAGAGGCAGACCATAGTCCTTCCTCATTCCTGCACCCAAGCCTGGGGCTACTTGTGAAGGAATGTTCTGCAGTGTGATTCGGTCTAAGGCCTTCACAATGTCGCTGTTGAAGCTGTGAACTAAAGACGCGGTTCTGTTCTGACCACCTGGCTGCTGTGGCAGCATCCTGTCACTGCCCTTGACATCCTCCATGGCATCCTCTCCTTTAGGAGATGCCTTCTCCTTAGTCACAGCTCCTTTCTTTCCACTACCTGAATTCCCAGACGCTTCCTCTCCAGCTGTGGGGACAACAATAGGGCCTCGAACTTTCCCCTCAAACACAAAAGGTTTTGGTTCTTTAGAGATTAATTCATAGTCCTGTTTAAGAAAAAATAAGTTAAATCTGTTACCTGTCAGTATTAAAATATGCTAATAAAAGTAAGATCATATTTGTGTCATGTTACTTCAGAAACCTAACACCTTCTTCTGATCTCCCTGGGCTCCAGGCATGCTCATGGTGCACACACATACATGCAGGCAAAACACTCACACACATTAAATAAACAAACACACAAAGGCTGAGAGACAGCTCAACAATAGGATGCCTGCTTATCGGGCATGAGAAGCTGAGTTCAACCCTCTGCTACCCTGCAAACAGAGACTCCCACGTACTGCCTACAATGGCTTTCATCTTACTTCCACCTAGCAACTGAGCAGGCAGGCATCACACATCCGGAAACGAGGCAATGTTGGCCAGCATGCAGACATGTCTAGCTGTCATAGATTTTGATGGCTAATGTTGAAAGCAACTAATTTCACAAATGCTCAATGTCATATGAAATGCCAGGAATTGATTCGCTGATGGTTGAATAAAATTCTTTCAAACACTATAAACTCTTACAATCCTCAATAAGATGTCATTAAATACTTCTTACTACTCAGGCATATATTTCAAACTCTGAAACTTATAAAATGAGAAAGACAATCAGGTGCGAGAACAACTTCTTTGGCAATAAATCCAGCTATGTAAATAAAACAAAGTGCTATTTCCCCAATGTATAGGTCTAAAATAATTAGCAACCTCTAATTTAATGGCAAAAGTCACAACACACTAACAAATGTATATTGCCATATTTACCTGAAGTAGCACAGTTCAAGAGCTCTGACTCAGACACATGTCTTCACTTGCTACACTGAGTGACCTTGCTACATGTACTCAGACCCAAAGTAGAACCAAATCTGCTCCAGAAGTCACCAAGAACAAGCTGGGCCCCTGTTGACATCATTCCATAGTACAAGGCTGTACAGGAGCCCATCAAGGTTAGCCTAGCTAGGTGCTAAACTATGATGAGGACATGGTAATGTAAACACAGATGTGTATCACGATTTGAAAGGAAGATGTGGCTTGGAAAATGAGGAGAATCTTTCTCAGTGGTGTTGTGTTTTAAAAGTGCAGCTCGAGAAATAGAAAGAAAGACACCATGTGATAGGGCTCAAGAAGAGGGTTGTTTTTTGCTTGTTTTTTTTGTTTTTCAAGACAGGGTTTCTCTGTGTAGCTTTGGAGTCTGTCCTGGAACTAGCTCTTGTAGACCAGGCTGGTCTCGAACTCACAGAGATCCACCTGCCTCTGCCTCCCGAGTGCTGGGATTAAAGGTGTGCACCACCACTGCCCAGCCAAAGGGTTTTTTTTATTAAGGGAAAAGGATCATAAAAAGGGGAAAGGAGGGGGGAAACCAGCCTCCAGGGACAGGAGCAGTAGGAAAGGAAAGGGGGGCAGACAAACAGGGAGAAAAAGAGAGAGTAGGGGGGAGATGGGAACACAGTGAGTGTGCACAGGTGGTGCTCTTAGTGCCTGCAGCTGAGAGCGCATCCTGTCAGAACCCCAAGGGCAGGCCAGTGCAGATGCCTGAGCACTAACAAGTGGCTCTCAACCTTCGTAACACTGTGGCCCTTTAACACAGCTCCTCATGTTGTGGTGGCCCCATCTATGAAAGGATTTCATTGCTACTTCATTGCTGTAATTTACTACTGTTATGAATTGTAATGTCAACATCTGATATGGGACCTCTGTGAAAGGGTTGTTCAATCCCCAAAGAGGTAGCAGATTGAAAGCCACTGATCTAATTCCTAACGCTAACACCCATTATAAAATTGTTCTACTGTACTCCCACACCAAAGCTATAGCTTATACAGCATTATATATCCCTATATGCATATAATTATAGGAAAACAGGTGAAGTCATTATATTGCTAATCAATTACCACCCACAACCACTACAACATTACTCTCTGCCTTGATTTACAAAGTATATTTATCTCCAGATGGTTCAAGTGAAACCAAACATATTAGAAGGAGTAACTCAATAGTTGTTCCAGGTTGCATGGATGAAAACTTACCCACCCCATACTCTTCCGGCTCCACTCCCCCACTGCTCCCCACTGGACCACACACACACACCAAACCCAGCTCCTTCTCCCTGGCTCCTGCCCTCCTTACACTCCTCCACTATTTCCAAGTCTAGTGAGCTTCAGACCTACAGAAAGCACGGGGAAGGAGGAGGCAGGAGGTTATCCCTCACTGTATTCCAAGGCTCCTAGGTATACTCCCAAAGACAATTGAAAAGGTGGCAAATATTTTTCATTTATACCTCATGTATAAACTTACTATAATCTTCTTTAATCAACTGTAACTAAGGATATGGGATTTGTAGCAAAGCTACTCAAGTTTAGAGGTTAGCTAGTCCAAACACATACTTCCTGGCCTAGAGCTCACTGTGTAAACCAAGCTGGCCTCTGACCTCACTGAGATCCACCTAGGCTGTTTTCCTGGTGCTGAGATTAAAGTTGTGTGCCACCATGCCTGGCCAAACTTACACTTTAAAATCAAGACTTGAGAGCCCAGCACAGTCAAAACAGAAAAAAACAAAAAACTACATCTACTAACTGCCAAACAATTCAGTCAACATGGCATGTTGTGTAACCAGAGCTGAATAGTTTTGTCTTAGTATGCGAGAATAAGAAACGCCTACAAACAACAACCTACATCTTCAGGGCTGCAAACTGCCCTCTCTCTGCCCTGACTGCTGCTACGTCACTTAATAACTACAGAGGAAACAATAAAGCTACAGAACCCCTCAGCACTACTTAAATGGGCAAACTAACACAAGGAAGACTACAGTCTGATTTTATAATGCAATTTTAAGAATAGAAGACAAAATTTTAAAAAGCATGTCAAAGTGATGAATCAAAGTGATTATAAAATGTAAAAACTACCCCACTGCTCTCTCTCCTAAGCAAGTTGAGTGCCGTTTTTTCAGAAATGGAAAATGGCAATTATGTGCATAACAGAGAAAACAATGAACTTTTTATTAAAAATGGGTTAAGACCAAACTTTCTATATTTATACCTGAAAATCATCAACAAGCTCAGGAAAGAGGTGTTCATACATTTTTAGTTCTTCTATTGTTCGTCCTGGTACTTGCTGGGGTCTTAATTTGTTAATATCTGTTTCAATATCATCATTCTGAAATAATAAAACATGCCATTAGTATAAAAACACAAAAATGTTAGAGAATATATTTTATATTTCCCAAAATATTACTTATGATTACTAAATAATCACTGATAAAATTTATATTCAACTTAATCATAAATCAGACCTTTTAATTAGTTATAGATTATCATTGGTGCTGATTTTGTTATTTGGTCATGATTAGTCTTAATGTAACAGACAGAGTTTTCAGGCTTGTCAAGAAGAAACAAAAAAACAAGATTATGTATGCTCCCCTCAATGTTCCTATCACTGTGCTGTAAAGTAAGACTCAAGAGAATTAAATTGAAAACATTTATACATAACAAAAAACGGTAACAAGCAAAGCAGTTACCATCCACTGGCAAGCACTAAACTCTATCATCTAAGTCATTCTGACAACACTGAAACAGACATGCTTATTGTCTCCACCACCTGAGTAGGGATGCCAAGTGATGCACGCATGTGCACCAAATGTTAAGTGAGGAGCTTGCAATCAGACAACCTGTGATATAAAACTAGTTAGAGAAGTGGCAAAGCATACATTATAGCCAGTGTGACGTTTCAGTACAGACAAGCGTACCACACACTCTCACACTCCAAAGCCCATTGTCACTATACACACAATTTTTTTTTTTTTTGCAGGGTCAGGAGAGTAAGAAGTGGCACAAGAGGCCACAACATACCTTTAAGAGAGATAAGAGAGTAAGTCTCAAGCATATCCTCAGACAAAAAAGACAAGGCATCAACCAATTTTGTCCCTAAATTTTTTATCTTCTATTTTTTGAGTCCTCACCATGTAGCCCTGGCTTACATGCCTCGCTCATGACAGGATGTCTACACAGTGAGATCCAGGCCAGCCTGGTCTACACAGTGAGTTCTAGGACAGCATGGTCTACACAGTGAGATCCAGGACAGCCAGGCCTATGCAGAGGCATATGGCTCACTCTTAGGACAGTCACTCCAGCATTAGGAAGCTAAGAGTGTTGACCTTTATGGCTATCTGCAGGTGAGTTGCCTAGAAACTAAAGAATCTGGACTGAAATCTCTGCAGAGGAAAAGCTGACTCATGATGGGGAGGGAAGGCAGTCTGGAGCCAACCCCCAGACAATTGCAGTCTCCCACTGCAGCACAGCCATGCTGTAAGACACTGTGGATCCTCCCTAAAGTCAAGGAAAACAGGACACCCACCTGTAATGGCCAACGCAAGTCAGACAGCAGTGCAGGCCAGAGAGGCTCGTGTAGCTGCAGCTCACAATCTCAGCCAGCACATCATGGACTTCAAGAGGACATTGCAGTAGGGCACAGGGCAGTGGCGAGGAGGTGGACCCTCCACCACACAGACTGGCCCCTGGCATACTCAGCCTTCTGTGCCTCGTCTACACTGCTGTGACGATTTGATGATCACAGTACATGAACAGCCTGGATTGGCTCACGATTAAGTGTTCAATAAATACTATTTTTCTCATAACTATAACTGTTTTGTTAAGGTGAAGTAGACAGTAAGTGGGCAATCACTGTCACTGTTAACTCAGTGATAAATGGATGCCAACAACTGTTTTTCAAAGATTCCAATGTCAAGAGCAAAGAAATCTGTGGAAACGTTTCAGATGAGCGGAACAAGTGAGAGACACCAAAATTCAGTATCTGAGGCTAGATCTTGCAGCAGAGAGTGTAAAAACCTCACAAAAGACATTACAGGAGCAAATGATAATTGGACACAGACGGCAAGTGTGTTGCAGTTAGGGTGTATGTATGTTCATGGGTAAAGGTCCAGAAGAGCTGACGAACCTAACCTACTCTCAAATGCACACAGTTTTCCAGCAGCAAAATCAGTCACTGTTCCAACTGTCCTCACCCTCTAGTCTTTAGACTCTTGACCAGCACAGCTGTTTTTAATTAAAACTGTGAGATGTGAAGACTATTGTAGCACAAATAATAAAAACCCAGAGACAGATACTGGGGTTCAAGCTGAAGATCAGAAAAGCAAAGCAGCCAGCCAGTAGCTCTTGTACCTCAGACTGAAAGGGCGGTTCTGTCTCCAAGAACCATCAGCCTCCACTGCACGGAGCTCCTGCCTTATATCCTCTCTAGTGCTGGGAACAAAGGTGTGAGCTCTGTTTCTCTTTAGACTAATGATTCACTCTCATGTAGCCCAGGATGGCCTTGAACTAAGAGAGACCTCTCTGCCTCTGTCTCCCGAGTACTAGGATTAAAGGTGTGGCCACCACTACCTGTCCTCCGGTACTAACTAGTGGCTTAGCTCTTAACTAGGTGTCTAGCTAACTAGTTGCTTAGCTCTGCATTCTGATCTTCAGGTAAGCTTTTTGTTGTTGTTGTTAGATCACAAACAACATATCACTACAGAATCAACTACACCAGACATGCTGTAATGTTTATTACTAAAACTTTGTATTTTGACAGAAACTCAGGAAGATTAATGTGAAAAGCATTATGCTCATCTCATGAATTTCATGACCCCCCACATACCCTGCAAAAAAAAAATCGCAAATGCATTTCCACACGCCCTTCCTTACCTGAGAAGATGATTCCCAGCTGGGAATCTACCAATTCCATTGCTTAGATCAGGTCCAAACACCCAGGCACCCCAGATTTGTGTCTAAACATCAAAGCCTGCCCTATTTTTGTGATCACATTGTGGTAGTGAAATTGATTCTATATTATTGTTAAGATACATCTTCCAGTATTCTAGATTCTGGAAAGTCAAACACATAGTGTGACCCAATATTAAGGTAGTATTCCAAGATTTTCTAATGTTTTGCCTGCCTGCAATTATGTGTTCTGCATGTGTGCCTGGTGCTTGCAGAGGCCATAAGCAGTGTCAAGCCCCATGTAGCTGGAGCTACAAATGTGCATCACCTGCCAAGTGGATGCTGGGCAGTGTGCCTGGCCCTCTGCAAGAGCAGCAAGTACTCTTAACTGCTGAGCCACCATCTATCCAACCCCAACAGTCCAAGACTGAAAAAAGGGGAAAACTGGTTCTCCCCTCAGAGCAGACAGTAAACAAGCTGAGCAGCTGACAATCACAGTGGCCACGTTCCAAAAGATGCTGCAGTGGGCCCGCTGCGTCAAATGACGCAGAGTCAAGTCTCTGACCTTGCAGACACAGTGCAACTCCATCAGCTCAGCAGCCCCTTCAGCCGACAGCTCAGACGACACAGTAACAGCTTCATATTTCCTCAAGTCAGCATCCCTCCTAATACGGTGACGTCACCACACAGCACCTATGTTACAGACTATATTCCTGGTATTTTTACAGCCCCAAAAGACTGCTGACAGAAGGAAATGCCTTCTGGAATAAGCTGCTACAGCAGTCTCAAGCCCCTTCCCTTAGAGACCGTAGTTTCTAGCATTTTATCTACAATCCTGGGCATCAGCAAATCTGTTTCAAGGCTGAGATACACAATGTATAAAGTTTCCGAACGATAAAAATGGACTAACCTTAAAATTCTGATCTAGGTCATCTTCATTTTCGACTTCATTTTCAGCTTCTAAATCAGCATCATCGTTGTCATCACTTTCATCTACTACGTCATCCACTGTGGTGCAAAACACATGGCAAGTCAGTCAGAGGCAAGCGTCTACAAGGCAGACATGCACAGCGTGCACACCATATTCCAATCACCAAGGAAAGGCAAGGACATTTCTTTCATTGAATTATTGCATTCATCTACTCAACAGAAATTTCTTTTTATCTTCAACAATTTCATATATTGGGGATTTTGTTTTTCTTTTTAGATTCCTTACTAAAAAACATCTCTAAGGATATCTCAACCCTAGAAGCCTCACAAAGCATGTGGAAGAGCCCCCAAACTTGGAATGCTGCCTCTAATGTTCTAGGATACGATCTAGCTCTGCCCTATGTTGCAGCAGCCCAAATGAAGAGGCATTCTGATGACCCTCACGGACTCACTTCACTGCTTTCATTGCAAGTTCTTCTTCCAACGGTCATGTGTCACACACCGTGTTACAAACTAGGGATTCTTTAAAGATATGGTTCCTGCCCCAAAGGAGGAATGCCACAGGAAAACCAGACAGACAGTAGCTGGCCACAAACCACATAGGGCCAAGGTGTGACCACTGATCACTTCACAGGGCAGCACCTGAAGGAGACCCAGGGGCAGGGTAATGAGGCTGTAAGAAATAAGAAAGTGAGATGATAGATATGTTGGGAAAATAAATATGATTGGCATGTAGAGTGTGTTTCGTAAATAAGAATAAGATAGAATAGATATTACACAGTTAGCCAAGTCAGTTAGATTTTAAACCTACAGAACACAGGATTTCCAAGAAAAGAATGACTTGATACAACTTGCACTTTCTGGCAGGTATGAGAGGAGAATATGTTAGTGAAGCCAGACCAAGCAAGAGGGACAGTTAGGTGTCTAGGCCAAGGAAAGACCAAGGAAAGGAAAGAAACAGCTTACATTAACACTCAGGGAACTCCTTGTAAAAATTCATGGAGCGGAAATGTGAGGGGACAAGAGAAAAGTACCAGGCTGCTCACAGAGTAATAGCGCTTTCAACCCACACGGGAGAGGCTGAGAGCTGCTTTCCTAAGCTACTTGACTTCTACATCCATTGTGATATAGACAGAGATTACTGACTGTTTTGCCTAATATTAGTTAATATTGCCTAACAGAACCCTTGCATTTGAGCCGAGGGATCCCAGACTCTGCTGCAGCAGTGACATCAACTCCGATGGACAATTCCTCACCAGGGGTGTGTAAATCAAACTGATAAACCTATACCCCAAATCAGTTGTATTCCCTGGAAGAGGGGAGAAGGATGCCCTTTGGTGCGTACTTTCTTACGAGAAGCTACAAATGTTCTTTGATGGCCTAGTCCACTGAAATCCAACCTGGATCTATTTACCCTAAGCCCAACAGCAGTCCACCATGGGAAAGTGGGAAGAGCTGGCATATGGAAAAAGAATAGAAGCAAAACAGTCTTTAGGGAAAAAAAATGCACTAAATTCAACAGAAGTCTACTGTAAACAGGAAAAACACCTGATTCAATAGGGCAGAGATTTGGAAGGGAAAAAAAATTTTAATTTGGGGCAAACCTCCAAGTATTTCCTTTAGGTACATGCTCCAATTGTGAAGCATCACACAGCTTCAGAGCATCTGAGGCTTTCTCACAGCATTGCATTGCTAACAATTAACCATACCTCAGCAACAGTAGAAACCAGTGGCTGTCACCTGCTTCCTTGTATCTAACAACAGCAATGCAGGGAACAACTTCTACAGATCTCTGACAGCAAGTAAGGCAAATACAGGGCACCCCTGGGATGCCACCATTAGAGGAAAGAGCCTGAGTTCCTAAAAGGACTTAGGAGCCATAGATAAAGGAATTGTTCCCACTGTGCCTATAACCATGGCCGACTCCCTCTCTGTGTGCTGTATGTATTAGATCTGTAAGGCCAGCCTACAGGTGTGGACATATCTGTGTATACAAATACATTTTCAGGCAGTGTGTGATACGCTGTTTTGTATCAAAGGTTTGATTCTATATACATGCAGACACAGACACAGGAAAACAACTATATTTTATTCATTTTCCTTATATCTGGTGCTGTTAAATTGTCATGGTTTCTTGGGTAACACTGCAACAATAACCCCCCACAGCTCATACATCTAGCCCTCTCAATGGGTTAAGTCCTTTCTCTATGTTATTGACTTAGCTATATGATTTGAGATACATCTTTTAATGTTTCATTACTATTTCTGAGGTATGGTATAGATAAAAGTTAGTAACACTGTCCAAAATAACTGCCAATTTCCTTAATGAATTTTAACTGGAATCGCTTCATGATATTTACTGAAGTAACTGGTTTCCTTTTTTTTTTTTTTGACCTACTAATAATAAATTTCACCCATTTTAATATTACAGTAAACTTCATTCCTTAAAAATAATCAAGATGTCCTACACAAAAAACACTGCCCAGTTCAATTTGCTCTGTTTTAGAATTTGTACGTTTATTTAGATTAGTGGGATTTAGCTGTGGGTTGTTTCCGGTAATCCTTACCAGGTTTTGCTTTCAGCATCATGCTAGCTTCTAAACTTTTCTCTTTTTTCTATGCTCTGGAAAATAAAGCATAGGAAAATTCCTTGAAAGTTGAGAGAACTAATCTATGACATCATCAACAGTTGATATCACCAAACAAACTTGACTACATACTCCACTTCTGGTTTTTATTATTCCAGTCAGTTTTAATCAATTATATGTCCCTAAAATAATATTTCAATTATTTTGCAGTGTATGTGGATCTAGCACCAACAAAACAGCCTTGGCTGTCCTGTCTCGCACTCCCTTCCTTCTGGGTCTGTATTCTGGGTAAACAGTACCTCTTTGAGGAAACACACACATTTGCTAGTTTCCCATCAAGCTCTCTAGTGCTTTAACTCTCCAGTAAGTATCTGCTCTTTCACCCAATGTAAGAGTCCTAATCTGTCAATACTATTTTGTTGTCCTTGCTTCTGACTTTTGTTTAGATAGTGTCTCTTTGTGTAGGTCTAGCTGGCCCAGGAGCCGCTCTGTAGACCTGGCTAGCATCAAACGCAGAGATCTGCCTGTCTTCTGCCTCCCAAGTGCTGAGATTAAAGGCCCCAGCACAGCAGCCTTTACTAAAAGTATTATTTCATCTGCTTAGATTTACTGTTGAAGCTGACATGCTTGCTCACATCACAGTCACATCTCTCAAGGGTCTGTTATTCATCTCTGAAACTCCCTGGCTTTTACATAGCAGTAGTGGGCTCGTTCAAGAAAATACTCAAAATGACAGTCTCTGACATCAGCCTGTGTGGTACTGTGGGTATATTACATATGAAAATGTGCATTTCTGCAGTTACCATTTTAGAAATGCAAAATTATTATTAGGAAACTTGTCAACATTAAATTTATGTCAAAGGCTCTGTTTATGGTAACAAAAACTGGTTGGTATGTCACAGTAACAATGCAGGGGCTATTAGGTATTACAGAGTGGGAAGGTTCTAGGATTTAATACAACTGTTCTTCCATGAGGTCTCTGCATTTTCAACATCTGCATTCAACATCTGACTGGCTGAAGCAATACTCCACTCATCACTGAAGGAAGAGCACCTAAGATAGACAGAGCCACACCTTATATCTAAGAACACACCACCTTTGTGGTAGAAGCTAGTGAAGGTTCAGAAACCTCAAATCAGAGCCTTCATCTTCAGATCTTCATGGATAGTACCTTTTGGCACTGAGTAATCAAGAAGCAGTCCTGAGTCCAGCTCTACCCACTCAGCAAACACTAAATGTACTCTTGTAACCACCCATGCGCTGTAAAGGATGCTAAAGAGAAAATGGTGGTTAAAACAGGGCTGCTGTGATAGGGAACTATTCCATCTTGTCCCTGGGTCATAACAGTTCCGAAATCCCCTGGGTTTTCTTGGGTGGCAGGATGTCTTCTGTTCTAGTGACAGGACCCTTGGCAGGATCCTAGGTAGCTTCAGGATGGAGGCTGGTGGCATGATTAAAGAGAGAGCTGGGAATTTCTACCCTGTTTCTCAGCCTCTGAGGAGGGAAGGAGAACCCACAAACTACAATGGTTTAATAGATCATGGCTCGGCTTCTGGGCTTGTGAACACGTCAAGACCAGAACTAGGAGGAGGGTGCAGGGAGCAGGCATTCCATGCTGTACTTCCCTCTACCTGTACCCGAGTTGTGTCCTTTATAACAAACAATGAACCAAGAGTGCTCCTGGCTGGCATGAGCTGACCTACCACACATCTGCATCTAGCAAATTACTAATATTGGCATAGTGTTGTGTAAACTCCCTGACAACTTTATAGTTAGTCACTCCAAAACAGGGGAAGCCTGGGCATGTAACAGGTGTCTGAAGTGGAGAATGACTTAGGAGATGGAGCCCTGGTTCAGTGGTATCCATGCTAAGTCGGGTAGCAGGCATGTGAACTAAAATTAGAACACCCATCTCAGCGTCCAGAAGCAGAGAATTTGTTGATATGATGAGCAAGAAACAATGCAGACCTGTCCCAGAGGAGCGCACATTTTAGCTGAGGAAGGGTAACAAACAAGTCTGACACAGAATGAGGAATCCTCTTTGGGCCAACAGGGTCACTACCAGAGTCTTCCCCTCCCATTTTAATGAAGGCTTGTGAGTTAACACATAGACGCATCCCTACTTTAGGGATTCATCAACTCTGAGAACATACAGAAAGGAGACCACGGGACGATATCACCTTTCACATTTTTCCCCACACCTGGTGAACTCACTACACTGCAGGTGAACTTTCGCTATCCCTTACTCTGAACTCTGAACTCTGAACTATGCATCACTATGAGGATATATTCTACTTCCTCCCTGCTGGTACTTCCTGTTCCATCATAGAAGAGCTTCCCGAGCCATCTACCAACCAGAACCACAGACACCTACAGTTCACACCACCAGAATCCGGAATTTAGATAGAGGAAACAGAGATTTCCAAAATTCCTTGACTGTCCCTCAAAATTCAATACTAGTGCCATTACTGGAGCCAGAGACCCTGCACTTGAGAGGAGGAAGATCGTATCCATCCCTGCCTGTGTCTACCACAGCTGTGTCATAAAGACTCCCCTTGCCTGCCTTTCAGAATGGATACTAATGTCCTCACTTTCAAAGTCTGTGAGAAATCACAAAAGAACAAAAAGAAGGAATTAAAAAACTATTTCACTCAGCTTTCTTACTCAGAACTTTCTAGACTCAATCTTGTTGACTTTTAAACTTTGGATTTTTAAAAATTTTTATTTCTCTTTCATACATACATACATACATACATACATACACACACACACACACACACACACACACACACACACACACACACCTGCAAAGGCCAGGGGGTAACTTGCCACAGTCCACCTTTTCCTCCCACCTTGTGGGCCCTGAGGATTGAACTCAGTTCCTCAGGCTTGACATAGTACGCCACTACTTGCAAGTTATCTCAGGAGCCTGACTTTTGAAAGGTGTTTCTAAAATGACGAATTTTGATATTTTATGCCAATTAAATCTGTGCTTAGATAATTAAATGTTTTTAAATTAATATATGCCTTATGATATATGCTATTTAATAAATCCATATTAAGGATTAAACACTAATGATTGCTTGAAAACTTTTAAAGCATTTATTTTGAGTGTTTTATAAATAATAAAAATTAACTTTTCAAAAGACATAATAAGAAAACAATTCTAGGAATATCCATGTAAGCATTGCAGCTTGAATGGAAAGGTATCCTGGGAGTTGGGAGCCAGGGAATACCACAAAGTCACTGCAAGCTTAGCAGCTTTCAGCCCTGCTCCAGGAAAGGTTTCCCCAGTGCAAGTGTAACACTCTGCTCTGGAAAGTCTCACAACTGGGCTCTGCTCTGTTCAAGTGCTGCTGCAGCTATGCTCAGGTGTTGTTACAGCTCTGCTCAGGTGTTGTTACAGCTCTGCTCAGGTGTTGTTACAGCTCTGCTCAGGTGTTGTTACAGCTCTGCTCAGGTATTGTTACAGCTCTGCTCAGGTGTTGTTACAGCTCTGCTCAGGTGTTGTTACAGCTCTGCTCAGGTGTTGTTACAGCTCTGCTCAGGTCCCCCAGTGTAACACTCTGCTCTGGGAAGTCTCACAACTGGGCTCTGCTCTGCTCAGGTCCCCCAGTATAACAACTCTGCTCTGCTAGGGAAACTATCCCCAGGGAAAGTGTTAGAGTTCTTTACAGCTGGGCTTCACTCCAGCAAAAATGTTACACCATGACACAACAAACCTCACTCAGAGATTTTTTTGGGAAGGAAGAATCCAGGAGAGTGGCTGCCTCAGGTGAGAAACAGCAGCAAACGAACAAGGTCCAGCAGAGCTTATGTAGGATTTCTTGGGGAGAGTGGGGTGGAGCTTCCCAGGGTGACTTGGGATCAGTGGTTTTTGTGGTCTGATTCCAGTGCAAGCTCAGGGATTGGAGGCATTTCCAGCTCAGGAACCTCAGGGGTTGGTGGGATTCTGGGGCCTGACTCTGGGGCAAGCTCAGGGATTGGTACAATTTCAAGCCCTGGTCCTGAGGTCAAGTCAAGGCCAGGGTGTTTTTCCTTGGCACAGGTCTTGGGTCTAGTCATGGGTAGGGTGTTTTCTTCCTTGGTCCCTTTTACCCTACAACCCATAACTACGTCTCTTTTCAATTTCAGTAGATACCAACCAAAACAACAACAACAAAAAACAAACAAACAAAAACCATGTTGGAAAGTTTAAATTCTTCCATACTATATACCTGCAGTGTTACACTAAAAACCGAAAAATAGCCTACCTCAAATAATTTCACTTTTCTTCCAAGTAAGTTATTTGTTCAATTTTGCTAATTTAGGCTTTTAACTTGCAAGATGGAAAATCAGGCCAGAGATGTGACTCAGTGGGACTGTCAGCAAGTCTGATGTTGTAAGTTTGGTCCCTGGGACCCATGTTCTCAAAGGAAAAAGCCAACTTCTGAAGGCTGTCCTCTGACCTTAACACATTCACTGTAGCATGAGCATGCGTGTGGCACAAACAATACACACACTCACACTCACACACACACACACACACACACACTCACACACACTCACACACACACTCACACACTCACACACTCTCACACACAGACACACACATTATCATCATCACCATCATCATCATCACCAGCAATAACTTTTTTACACTACACAGGTAATCCTAAACATAACGAATGGCCTAAGCATCTGATGTCACCTTCTTATACTCTGGAAACTGATTACTGACTAATATCTTTTCACAACTCACTTTGACATACATGTAACATAGTACTTCCCTGATTAGACTTCAGTTTCTTACACCTAAAGAAATGCTTGTTGACTAAAATAAGCGTGAGGATTTATCATGCTCACATTAAGACATTCGCTGAGGAATCAGACACAAGTTTTAAATAACAATGTCCACAGAGCAGCCCAAGGCCCTACCTTCAGGGGGCAAGCTGTAGAGCTGGGCCACGGGTCCAGTCATGGGGATAACTGGCAGCTGGAAGTGGAAAGAACTTTTAATGGTTGGGAGTGGCAAGCGGTTTTTGGGGAAACACTTCCTCATTATCAGACTAGAGGTGTTGACGAGAGGATCCAGTGTCCTGACAGCCAAGCATTCCTGTTCAAACAAGGATATGTGAGTTACTCAACAGCTCAACACCACTGTATTCAAAATGTAACATAATAATGATTTCCTAGCCACAAACATCACACAAAGTAATACTGTAACACAGTACAGTTACAAAACAGCTTTACTCTGCCTAAGTATCTGTGCCCAGGAGTTACATGGGGCTGCTTCAGTACAATTTTTCCTCATGTTCTCCAGGCAAAAATTTGTGCTTATCTTTGACAGTAAAATCACTCAGACACGAAGAAGAGTACGGACGTGCTGAGAACTGAAGGTGTGAGAAATAAAGTGTGTGTGTACGTGTGTATGAGAGTGTGTGTGTGTGTGTGTGAGTGTGTGTGTGTGTGTGCGCGCACATGCACGAATGCGTGCACCTCAGATCCAGACTCTTGGTCTTCTATAAGATGCCCATGCAGCTGGTAAGACAAAGGTGGGAGCAGACCCCACTGCAACTCCTAAGAGGTTGGCTGGCTGGCCAATGTCAAGTACAAGTGATTCAACAATATTGTTGTGACAACTGACCTCTCAGTGGTACTCTGACATACTACACAATCTTCAACACCTGACTGACTTAGTTAGACAGACAAATTAGGCTCAAAAATGTGAAGCCACCTGATTCACCACCGTACACCAAGTACCTATCACTATGTGTCCAGATGGTAAAAACAGAGAAATGAAAAGGCTCAGTAGACACATCAAGTGTTTAGATGCAGTAACCAGTCATGTGGAAACTTGGTTACTGTGTGCAAAGCCAAGAGAACACTTGAACAAGTGCCTGGTCATTTCCAGGGACAGAAGATGGCTGCACTGCAATTCCCCTCCATCCCTCTAATGACAGTCTTCCACAGGGCCACTGCCAGGCTGTCAGGGATGTGTGTGGTTAAGAGGCCTAGCAGAGCTAGCAGCCTACTTGTAGCTTTCATCTCTCTCTGCCTGTCCCATCCGTGGCCATGATACTCCCAATGCTCACAGCAGAACTGCCCCGCCAGCTAGAGAAGCCTCAGTTACCTTGAGAGCACACAAAACTGCCAACCCAATCACCCAGGCAACACAGCTACAGGGAACCCTCAACTGTGTACCCGGTTTATACAGCTACAGTGTGGCTCCCGCTGCAAAAAGGAGCACTTGCCACTCTCCAACCATCTCTGAGGTCACATGCAAAAATCAACTGGGATTATTGGTTTGACAAAAATTTTAAATATATTTGCACTATGTCCACCTTCCTGGGTACTTGCATGTTAATCCAATTTTCTTAAGAACCAGGACAGCGTCATTAGCGCTTCAGCAGAATGAGGAAACCGAGGCAGCTTACTTGTGAAGTGTTATACAGAATCTTCATCCCGTTCGCATCGATGAACGCCTTTCTCCCCAGCTTGATGTTTGTGATGCTTTTTAAGCTCTGCAAGATCCCTTTCCGAATGAGCATGTTTCTATGCCGATTATCATGGCGGTGCCAATCTACATAAATTGTTAAAAGCACTTGAACATATCCTCTGTCTACGGCTCTCCTGGCATTTGTTTCTTTAACAAGAGAAAATTGGGAAAGATTACTTTATAAATGACAGGAGAAAGTTTTAACATGAATTAAACAAAAGAGTAGAATATCAGTATTGTGATAAATCCCCAGCCTTTAAAAAAGAACAGCCACATATTTAATAATTTCTAACAAAATAATTATGGCAAGTTCCAGAAATTATTACAGTTTCTAGACACGTTCTTGCCTAATTATCTTTTCACGATTTACAACTGAAATCTCATTCCTAGTGTTGACACCTGCAATCCCAGCACTATGAGGTGAAGGCAGGAGGGTCACAAGTCTGACACCAATGGGGTCCTAATGGCAGTGCTGTCCCAACAAAACAACTGAAAATGAGTGTGCTTACTAAGACAAGGTCTGTAATTTTTTAAGTTATACTAATTTTTAAAACTCCGGATATTTTGCAAGTTATAACATATGGGCCTTTTTCATAAGACAGAGCATAATGCCTTTACTGACTATCTATGAACATGACTTTGCTAAAGGCAATTGTCAGTCTTGCTTATTTTCATTACAAACTCTGTATTCCCATTAAAATTAACCCCACTGGATTGTAGCTCTTGTTACCTATAAAATTTATCTTCCTGGTGTAATTAACTATTCTATTTATTCTACAATTGTATAGATATCCACTACTTAATACACAAAATTTAAAATAAAACTTGTTTTATATAAAAGATAAGAAATAGTGATTAGAAAATAGTTTTTTTCTGGCTGGAGAGAAGGCTCAGAGGTTAAGAGCACTGACTGCTCTTCCAGAGGTCCTGAGTTCAATTCCCAGCAACCACATGGTGGCTTACAACCATCCATTATTGAGATCTAGTGCCCTCTTCTGGTGTGCAAACACACATGGAAGCAGAATGTTGTATACAAAATAAATAAAGAAAAGAAAAGAAAAAGAAAATAGTTCTTTCTAGATACTAAAATCTTAACATAAAAAACTATAAGTTTTCTGGAATTGGTCCATTTTAATGGAATAAAACTATAAGAAACTGACTTTCTCACACTTAAAGATTACTACCCAAAAGAACACATCTACTCAAACAACAGCCATGGGATGCCATCAAGGCAATGCACAGTGCCACCCAGAGTTGCTGTGGCAGGGCTACGAGGGCTGCAAGAGCAGAGGAGTGGGGAATAACCCACCTGGGGTTGCTTCAGTACAAACATGAGTCTCTTCTTAACCTCAAATGCACCCACAAGCAACCTTGGCTTATGTTATGGACCCAAGATGATACTGATTTTAGCTGCCTAAGGATCATTGGTTTCTACACATGCTCATGTAGACTAAATCATAACACTGAGATATAGCTATTCTCTTTCAGAACTAAGCTCTGACATCAGGGAGGTGCAGGCTGCTCATCAAGAGGAGGTGGTTTTCTTACGAGAGCATTGTTTGACATCAGCACCTGGGGGGTGAGAATATGAGGACTGCCAGCCTGGGCTATTACAACAAGACCTTGCCTCAGACAAGAGAGAAAAGCAAAACCAAACCAAAGTGACCCTCCTGTACATCTACAATAGCTAGTTTTCTGTGAGGCTGTTGCTATTTATATTATCAGCTCAACTGCTTGATCTGACCAACAATATTTTCTTCTATTTGGGGCTAGGGATCTAACTGAGTTGATAGTGTGCTGGGAGTTCACCCTCCAGTACCCCATAACCTGGGCAAGGCAGTGCACCTCTGTAATCTCAGCACTCAGGAAGTGGGGACAGGAAGATCACGAGTTCAAAGTCACCCTTTTCTACACAGCAAGTTCAGGCCAGCCTGGGATATAGCAGACATTGTCTCAAAAACAAGAAGAAAGTATTTCAAGCAAATACACACTTTTGTTTACACCACTTAAAATGTACAAGCCTTTAATGGCTAGCTGCTAATAAGACTTAGTTAAAAGCTTTATGGTCATTGCAGTATTTACAACTTTGTTTCTGATGGAATCTGCAACAGCCTAAATGATACTTAGAGGAAATGTTTATATTCAAACATAGGTGCTGAACTGGCCCTTACAAAAAGAGCTATCTACAATCTGCACTGAGCACAAATAAAACAAATCAATAAACTCAGGGCACAAAAGTCCCTGGCACTCTGTCTGCCCTTCCCTTTCAAAGCACAGAAGCCGCATCGGATGTGCATCCACTAAGGGCCCTGGGCTCCACACTCTTGTTACACACACTTCCCTCCCACATTTACTTCAGAGAGCACAGTGGTCCTCTAATGTAAATGGCTGCCCCACAATAAGCAAGTTTTAATGTAAGAGAGGATGCTCCAAAATGCCCTGGTCCATTTCAAACTCTGCAGCCTGCCACTAAACACTATTCTGCATTAAGTGCCCTGTGTTGTGCAGTGTAATTTGAAGAGACATCAAATACAAAGTATTCATCAAATGCTTTGCTTTGTCACATGTGACCCTGGTCTACAATTTATCACATCACAGATAAAAGTAGCTACCCCACTGAGACCCGCCCACTCCATCCCAAAGGTGAAAGTATAAATAAGAATTCTGGTAAACAAACAAACAAAAAAAAACATACTTTTAAACTTAATTTTACTTTTTTAAAAAGACAAGATCTTACTATGCAGTCATGACTGACCTGAAACTCCCTATGTAGATCGAGTTAGCCTTGAACAGGCCATCAATCCCCCTGCCTCTACCTCCTACCTACTGGGATAACAGGTGCTTGCCACTGTTCCAGCAAGATCACACTTCTAATTAGTCATATTACTATTAAAAATATATAGCCATGAAAACTTAGTAAACAAGGTGGCCCCACCCCGACAATAGTTTCTGACCAGCTGCCTGTTATGTACTGGGAGAGGAGGGACATGCGAAAGCCATCAACAGAAAATTTAAGACTAAATGTCAAGATTAAATGTTAATTAAGCAACTGATCATATGGGAGAATACTCTGAAAATGTTTTGAAGACATACTGAGCCTGCTGGTGGGAAACCCCACACATGCAGCACTTGCTCTCCAACAGCTACAATCAGAAGCCACATCCCCAAGCTGCAGCTCTGAAGACACAGTGAGTTCTGTGCAGACGGATTTATCACTGCTATAAATTCACAGTGTGCCACTTTCTCAGGGTTATAAATTTGAACTTATAGTAAAAACAAAATTTCTGATAAAAGACACTATGCTAACTTCTATGAAGCTAATATGCATTACAGTGACATGCTGATTGAGCTACAGTTTATTCCATCCATTTGGATAATTTATTTAAGCACATCATTTTCATATTTCTAACTTTTACTGACAAAAGCACAAAGCTTTGCCATTAGAAGAAAATAAGTAAATGTCATAGAAGCATCATTTTTCTGAGAAATGAATCTAATAATATCTATAACTTTGACTACAAGAAACTAGTTTACTATATACACTAAATCTAATTTCCAGCTTCTTGAACACAGATATATATTTAGAGTATTTTAATTACTATTATTTCTAGTATTTAAAAACTTACTTGATTTTAGCAATGCAGCAAGAGTGTCTAAAGCAACCCTGTCAACACAACAAGAAAACACAAACAACAACAAAACTAGTGAAATGAATCTACAATAAATGCATGCAATCTTGTCAAATATTATCTTGTCTATTAACCATTCCAAAATGCATTTACTCTTGCAACATGACTGATTATTTGGAGTTTATTTTGTGTGTATCTCTCCCTCAGTTCATAATAGATTAGATAATTAAAATACTCAAAGTACTTGTAAAATTTAATAAAATTAACATTGTCTAAGTCTTTATGTCAGAAATTAGGTAAAATCAATTACAGTATCTTCATTTGACCTTTTGAGAGCTCACAAGCAACCAAAATGAAAATTCAGGGGCCCTGATTACAAAAGAATTATATAGGAACAAGTTGTAACAGTCTAGTTCAGGCCTACAGAGGCCTACAAGTGTCTCAACTTTCTCACCTAAGTTTTTCAGTGCCATGTGATAGAATCCTTAGACACAGGATTCTAGGGGAATAACTGTAAACTGTGAGACTCAGAAGCAAACCTAATTACTATCCCTTCACAGGACATGGAAAGAGCTCTAGAAGTTGAAGGTATATACATTTTCTTGAACATACTCAGTTACAGTGATATCAGCTACCAATAATCAGCCATAAAGACACATTATCTATTACTGTAGAAAGCCTGTGAATCAAATGATTACCAAACAGTGGGTTACTGGGGAAAACAATGTCCCTCAGTTTCAACTTCAAAAACATAAGCCGACACAGTATAGTAGCTCCTTGTATGGTGTTAGCAACTATAATTTTATAGTAGCTCCTTGTATGGTGTTAGCAACTATAATTTTCACTAAAAATATGTAGTATCAAGATTGAGCATTTCACTCACCATGAAGCATTTGTTGAATGCCTACTACACACTCCCTCTTCATGGACAGATATTAAAACAAACATCATTTCAACAGATTATTTTATAATTGACATTAAGTAATAGAAAGTATACACCTATTAAAAAAACTACTTAAGAAATTAAAACTCTGGTGATGAATAGCAGGCCCATGTGTTGGTGGTAAAGGAGAAGCTGTGATCAGATGAAGGGAGGCAGAGTGTGAGCGACCGGAAGGTCTGCACTGGATGAATACCAACTCCCAATTAAACCTCAAAACAAGCATTCACAACTACACCAGAAATAGATGTTTCATGGATCTGAAAGCTATGGGATCCAAACTACAGTATGCCTAAAACCACATTAAAAATCCTGTAAGGAAAATAATATAAGCCACTTGTTGATAAAGGGAATTACAAAATGAGAAAGGTGTCCCTTTAAAGAAATCAACAAGAGTTACTTGTGAGCTGTGTGGCCACTGCAGAGCTCCCAAAGGCAGGTAGGAACATGCAGGGTGGGTAGGCAACAGAGGCAGTCATCTAAAAAGTACTTTCTGTTTGGACAAAGATCTCTGAGCCCATCAGATACTCAGGTGTTGAGCACCGAGCATGGGGAGGGGCTGCAGCTGCTGCGGGCACCTGCAGTTAAGTCACGAGGGTTAGGCTCTCCTATGGGACACCAGGCTGCTGGCGCCATTCCGTGAGGTCTGCACGTCACTCACCTGCACTCTTGCTGCAGTGTGGTGGACATGTCTGTTTGGAAGACACAAGAGAGACACAACTTGGAACTAAAGAAGACTGTCTGATACTGTTCAGGCAATGCCTAGAAGCAAGCCAAGCATTACCAAAACCCAAAGAGCCTGCCGACTAGAAACGGTCTGATGTGTGGGGGGCTAGCTGTCAGTGACTCTTAAAGGAGGCTATGCAGAGGCTCACCAAGCAGCACCAGGTGACCCTCACAATCAGGGGCACTGCTCCTCTTTCTGGAATGGAGAAATACAGGGAGAGTCTGTAACAAGAACCCAGACTCAAAACACCATGGTCTACAAGCCTGGCAGTCTTCAGAAATGCTCAAAATTCACACTTTGTGGAGTTGTCATACCATAAAGACTGAGTATAATAACAGTAACATGGACTAAAACACATTTATTCTCACAGTTACTATCCTCTTAGAACCGTAAAAGTGACTAAAGCACTCTGTGGGCCTGAAGACATACAGTAAATCCTCAGTACTGTCTACCAAGTCTACACTTGCATGGATGTAGTGGCAACTTATTCCACCAACAGATCTGAGTACCAGCCTTAGGGTGTGGCTACGGAGTATAGACATGATCCCTAATAAGGAAGAAGAGGGGCCTCACATTCTCTCTCTTGGGTTGGGGTCTGAGCATCATGCATCCCAGAATCCTGCGCCTCCAGGGGCAAAAGACTGTAGCGGCTATTTACCTCCATTGTGTGAGTGTTCCCCAAATAAATATCTGTTTTTTCCTTATTCAGGCATACATGGGCTTCCTGACCCTGCCTTCACACAGCTCAACTGTTCTCAAACTTTATGTTCCCCGAGGATAGACGGTATGCTGTGCCAGACAGGTGTGTCATACTTCGGGGTGAAATCAAAGAGAACTAGACACTGTCTGTGTCTCTGTGGCACCTTGTTTAACTTTAAGTGTGTTTCAAATTCCTCTACATTGTGGTAGAGCACCTGACCTTCATGTACAAGACCTGGGTTCACTCCCTGGTAGCACTTAAACTGAGACAAAGATAAATTCCTCTAAGCATTTCACAATAAAAGCTGCAAGACCCATTGAATGGCATGCATTCTTTAAATCAAGGAGTGGATGCCACTGAGCATTTCTTGGCATTTCAATATAACATTCTCTCTACCAAACGTTTTACTATAGATACTATCATGAACACCTAAAATAGCAACCTCAGATGTAAGTGCACAGAAAGAAGTCCGTATATAAGAGACATTTCAAGGAACATGGCAAAATGAAGACAGCTGACAACACGCTGATGAAAAATATTAACACATGCAACTAATTTAATTGCTGTTACAAGATGAACTGCATTCCATATTCTAACCTCAGGATCTAACCTTACCAGAAAACAAGGCCAGTGAAGATATATATAATCAGTTAAGATGAGGTCATGCTGCAGGTAGGTGGGCTCTTAACACAGCTTGACTGATGTCCATAGAGAAGACCATGTAAGACAAGCACACATGAAGAATACCACCTATTGAGGATGAAAGCAGAAGGCACAAAGCTACAACTGGCAAGGATTGCAGAAGACTTGCCAACAACCCATCAAAACTAGTGAGAAGTCAGAAGGCAAGTCTCTCCAGGGAACAGCCTGCTGAGAAACTAAGATGGGGCTTCCAGGCTCTTGAACTGTGAGACAGTAACTGCCTGTCATTTCCTTTTATAATGAGATTGTGTGTGTGTGTGTGTGGCGCGCGCGCGTGCGTGCGTGCGTGCGTGCGTGCGCGCGCCTCCCAACTGGCAGCTGCTTACAACACACCTGAACCAAATAAAGTGCTTCTGCAAGTTTTGAGTCTAAAACTAACAGTTTTTGTTGATGTTTATTCCTGGTGTTGGAAAGCTGGAACACAGACACAATTTGTCTATCACCAGTAACACTGAGCTTACCCCACAGCTGCACTAACTTAAAAGAAACTAAAACTTTTACCAAAACATTATTCAAAAGGTAATAAACTTCAGCATAAAACTCTGAAACTCTATGAAACTGACAAGCCAATGTCAATTTCTAAAAGGAATTATAAATGCTAAATTTACAAGATAATGTGAGCTTATGAAAGTTACAAAAACTCTTAAATATTTTAGATGAATGATTCATGAATAATCATAACTGATTAAATTTCTCACTTTCAAAATATTTACACTTTCTCCTAGAGTTTTCCAATTTTTTTTCCTCCCAGAAGAATACTAACAACAAGAACCAAAGGATAGCCCAGGAGCAACGAGGAAAGAACGGTTTGTTTAGTTAGTTAGTAATGAAGTCAGCACACCTACTTTAAGTTGGAGGTCATCCTAGCAATGAGCTTCACCATGAGGTGGGCGCTAACAAAATTGCTGCTCTCCTTGAAGGAGGGAAAACAAATGCACAAGGACCATGAGGAACACAGCTATAACTTCCTGGATTTCCTCCTTCTGGACTAACAGTTTAAATCCAAGACCTAAAACTAGAAAGAGAAAAGAATCCTAAAGACAAGCTTCAGGCTACAGACAGGAGTTTCCTGTGACCCTTTCCCTTTTAAATAGGGCATTACTTAAGAAGGTAGAACAATACAAAGTTCCAGATATCATTGCAAACTAGGATAGAAAAGGTCAGATTTCTAAAAAAGGACATTGATGGCTAGCTACAGAATGTGATGGGGGATGTCCTTTTGCATGTTGTGAATATATGTTTCTCTTATTGATTGATGAAAAATGCTGATTGGCCAGTAGCCAGGCAGAAGTATAGGTGGGGTTACTAACTAGGAGAAGACTGGGGAGAGGGACGGAGATGGTGAGTCGTGAGGAAGATGCTACAGGGAGGATAGGGTGTCCGGGCATTCTCCAGTAAGCCAAGACCATGTGGAAATAAATACACAGATTAATAGCAATGGGTTAGTAAGAGAGAGCTACCCAATAAGAAGCCTGAGCCATAGGCCAAACAGTTGACAATCAATATAAACCTCTGTGTGTTTATTTTGGAACTGAACAGCTGCAGGACCAGGCAGAACAGAAACTTCCATCAACAAGAATGATTTAAAATAAACATAATTTTTTTTAAAGTTCTTTTAAAAATACAAGCAGATCCCTCCTGCTCCCATCCTCCACCCCCTATTCCCCAGGCCCAGTTTACCTAGGAAATCTCTTCTATTTTCCCTTCCTAGAGGAATCCATGAACTCCTCTTTGGGCCTTCCTTGTTACCTAGCTTCTCTGGGGCTTCAGATTGTAGCCTGGTTATCCTTTATAGCTAATATCCACTTATGAGTGAGTATATGCCATGTTTATTTTTCTGGGTCTGGGTTATCTCACTCAGGATGATTTTTCTCTAGTTCCATCCATGTGCCTGAAAATTTCATGATGTCGGGTTTTGGGGGTGTTTTTTGTTTTGTTGTTTTAACAGCTGAGTACTGCTCCATTG